TGAAATTCTTCGCACCTCCGAGATAGCTGTTCTTATTAGGGACATTGCCTGTACAGTATTCATTTAAAAAATACTTTGAAAATGTAATATGTATGCAACAAGAAGCTATGATCACGAATTATTTTCAATGGACATAATACCCATAGTCTTCGTTAAAAAGAGATGAAATATTTTAAAAACATTCATCGTTAGAATTTAGGTTAAAAAAGTTTTTCAAATTATGTTAAAGAAACGACAACAGTATTGAATAGGGTGTGGGTGTGTGGTGTGCGTGTGGGTGAGTGTGGATGTGGGTGTGGTGTGGGCGTGGGTGTGGGTGCGGGGTGTGGTGTGGGTGGGTGTGGGTGTGGGTATGAGGTGTGGTGTGGGTGTGGGTGTGGGTGTGGATAAACAGAAGAGTAACACCCACACCCACACACCCACACCCACACCCACACCCAGCCACACCCACACACCCACACCCACACCCACACACCCACACCCCACACCCACACCCACCCACACCTCACCCACACCCACACCCAGGAATGTGTGAATATGATAGAAACGAGAGTGTAAAGCAATCGAGTCACATTTATTGAAAAGAAAAAATAGTATTTGCATAGTGCTTTATATATTTGAGACAATATTAAATTTTTGGACTCGATGATTTCCGGAATCGATGACATAGAGATTGTCGTGTCGATTGAATGACAAACCAATAGATCATCTCAGTTGATTCGATTGTTCTCCTTGACAGTTTGCATCAACAATGACACTTCCTTGTGCAGCTCCTTTGGGCCAACGCACAATTCGATTATTTCCCCAATCAGTCACATAGACAGTGCCTAATTGATTGACAGCAACTCCATTGGAATATGACAATTGTGTAAGACAATATCCTCGTCCTTGACCACCAGCCACAACAATGGCTTCTGTTGCACCCTTCATCCATTTCATCACCCGATTATTTCCAGTATCAAACACGTAGATGGATTGATCTCGATCGATGAATACGCATGTTGGGTGATAGAGTTGATTGAGACAGTTTCCTTTTCCATTGCCACTGGCAACCGCTGTTCCTTTCAATTGTACTCTTCGATATCGTCTCACTTGATGTTGTCCAAAGTCAACGACATAAACTGATCCATTCTCGTCCATTGTCAAACCGAAACAATCGATGTTGGATAGGACTGTTTCACTACTTCTTCCATTTTGACGAGGCCATCGAACTACTCTATTACTCCCACCATTGCATATGATGAGACTATCTGTCTCTTTGTCGACAATCACACCTGATGAATCCCACTGTCTCCTTCATTTTCATCGATAACCACTCGACCACTAGTCGCATCTCTTTTCCATTCCATAAGACGATGATTGAATGTATCAGCAATACAAATTGTTTGTTCATCATCAACAAACAATCCACATGAGCCTGATAGTTGATTGTTTTTATTGCCATATCCATTTCCTCCAACTACTGTAATACCATTTTGCTCCCATCGAGCATTTATATGAATATCGATGGCATTGGCATGAAATGGAACGAAGGCTGCAGAAAAAAATAACACTCTTAGTTAGGGTGTAAGTGTCGATCTTTTCTTCTCTGATACCTACATCAACATCCACCCATCCACATCCACCCCATATCCACACACACTCACACCCACACCCCAGAACCACCCACACCCGCATCCATAGCCACTCTTCTTTAAAAAAAGGCTATCGCATTTTTAATATATGTATAAAAGAGTAGGTGCAAAAATATTTTTTTTTCTCGTGTACATTCTTTTTTTCTGTCAATTATTATGTTTTACTCTTGCATGCAATAATCGAAATTGGTTTAAATGATGTGTTCTGCGTTTATTATTATTATTTTTTTGAAGTGAATGATTGAAAAAACAACATAGAGAAGCAGTACATGCGCAAAAAATAAAGAAGAACTTATATTTATTCTTTCTCTCATTCTCTGTAACAAACTTGTTTTTTAACTGTGTTCACTAAGAAAGAATCAAGTTAATAAACGATACAACCTCCGCAATACGTGCTGTTCTAATTACGAGAAATCTTCTTTGTAATGGCCACAGCGTTCTCATTTCCAACCTCGAATAAAAGAGTTTTGTGGTTTTGGCAATCAAATCCAGATCCTTGGGATGAAAGCAAAGAAAAACAATGGAAGAGATATTCAGACTTTGAAACTGAATTTATAGAACAAGAGTTCCAGAAAGACCAGAAGGAAGTTGAATTAAATGATTATGTCATCAATTTCAAACGCGAAATTCAATACAAGAAGGATGACCATGGCAGGCAACGTCCAGTGAAGAGGGAAGAAGTTGATCTAAACCAGTATGTGAGAGAAGAAAGGGTGTGTCTTTCGGAGAGAGCAGCTGTTCTCAATTCATTTGAAGAGGAGAATAAAAATAAAGCTAGCTTGGGATCACTATGGTTTAAAAAAAATTATTTCGATATCAACGATAATGAAAGCTACAAAGCTGTCGCTGAAATAGCTGCACAGGGTAAGTTTATGCATTCCTAATTAACCATTGGATATTCTCTTGAGAAATTTCTCATAAAAAACCCTAAGAAATCTAACGACATAGGGGTGAACTGCTAGGCTCAATTTAGCCTAAAGGGATGGGCACCATAGAAGATCCCCTTCATTACAAGACCCCTTCAGAGCTAATGATGTGAAAACCAGAATACAAGACTTCCTTCAATAGAAGACTCCCTCCGAAAATTCGAATATCTCTGTATTTCTAAACTAAGTTTAATAGTACGATCTAATGCACTGCTTATTTTTTACTTATAGCCCTCTATGTGAAAGTTGCTAAGTACAAATTTCAATCAGTCAAAAAAGTTTTAAAACGAGTTTAGAAACTTTATCGGAATCTAAAATGTTATTCCAAAGTTACAAATAACTTTTGCTAATATCCAATGTGAAAATCCACCTATAATCTTTCTTACATTTTTCTATTGCATTACTATTGATGTGTTCTCTACATACTGTCGCTGTCTCTATGATAATCTTCTTTAGACACATATTGTTTCGGTTTTCGCTTTTGAAAAATCCGTACGAAACGCCGATATTTTGTCCCAAAAGAGCTTTTAATCCGTAAAAAAGGGTTCCCGAATTTGAAATTTTGAAGCACCATATAGAGTTTGAATGAATATCAATGAACATAAGTTACACCGCTGTAGACGCATGATGATTGCAGATAAAGTCAAAAAAAACATGTATGGGTGTTCAAACGAAAAACGTTTTATGGCCGAAATACAAAACCCCTGTTGATTCTATGAACGCTCGGATACAACATAAGATCCAGGTCTTGTAATGTGTCTACTCCTCTATGGCTACTATAATAATGAAATCAAATGAATATCAATTGCAGGAAAACCTGATTACATATTTGGAAAGAGTTTAAACAGATTCGTCAGAACACCTATAAAAAGTTTTCAGCCTCTTAGGGGTTATTAAGCATATAGGGCTGAGCCAAATGTCACTGAGTTTCATTTTTTTTGACTTATTAGGCGTCGTTTTCAGAAACGGTTATACCTACGGCCTTCAAAATTTTATAGCAGCTACATTTTAGTGTGCTCTATGTTCGATAAAATTGTCATTGACTTCCGATTAACTATTTCGGAGATGTTGTAAAAATACGCTTCGTCACGAAATTCCACAAAATCGCTTTTTTTTTCTAAGTGACCGCTTCAGTTTTACGTTTTGTTATTAGCCTAAAACAACTACAAAAAAAACTTGATGTGTAAAAGTTGTAGAGTTTGAAACGAGCTACAAAAATATCTACTTTAGTTTTTCTCGAAACTTCATCATTTTCCAAAAATTGGAGAAGATAGTCATCGTCAGGGAATTTCATCAATAGCGTATTTTTTTTGCTAAAAAACAACTTTTCTAACATTTCTTTTAGCTTATATTAAAAATAAATACTAGATTCGAAATCAGCGACAAACTTTGAATGGAATAGGTTACGTTTCAGATAATTTTGGGTTAAAAATATTTTTTAATGTTTTAATGGCAAAAAATTTTCTAAAAAAATAAAGTTTATTGTTTCGACCAAACGCATACGGTATTTTGTGTAAAAATTATGCGGATTCAGAATCTAGTTAAGATTCAGCCAGACATAGCGAATAAACCGGAAAAAATTTATTTTTATTAATTTTGTTATTCACAACTTTTCTGTACAGCCACCATAAATTACTTTAGCTACAAATTGTGTCCTCTATAAACGTTTTAAGAACCTTGCGACAGTTGTTCCTCATACTTTCGACTATACTCTTTCCGATAGATACACTTGTTTAAGTTAATTTTAACTTCAAGCCTCCCGTTCCAGAGGCGGCCGTTAGCTGGCCAGCCCCTGTGTAATATTTGTATGTGCTTATGTATATTTTGGTGTCCATTCGTTTCCCGCCAAAAACCAATGCTTAACACGAATTTTTTGTACGACTTGAAACGCTCATGAGTTGCTCTTTTCATTTTTACACAGAATGACTCGGTCTGATATATCTTGGAAGAACGCAAGTTACCGAAATCACTATAGACAGAGTTCTTCCAGGACATATCAGACCGAGTCATTCTGTATAAAAATGAAAAGAGCAACTCATGAGCGTTTCAAATCGTACAAAAATTTCGCGTTAAGTATTGTTTTTTGCGGGAAACGAATGGCCACCAAGTATACATCTACACATACAAATGGGAAACATACTTAATAACCCCCAAGAAGTTGAAAATTTTTGTATAGGTGTTCTGATGAATCCGTGTTAACTCTTCCCAAATATGTAATCAGGTTCTTCGTGCGATCGTTATTTGTTCAGTTCATTATAGTGGCCATTGGCTAAATTGAGCCAATTAGTTCACCCTATGCCGTTAGACTTCTTAAAACCTTTTTTCACCAAAATGATCAGCGTCGAAAACTGAATAAACTCTAAAAGTTTCACAATAATCGAACAAAAAAACTTTTTGGTGGGAAATTTCTCATGAAAATAGCTCCTTGAATAAGTTAATTATTTCCTTTGCTTAGGTATTCTAAAAGAAGGTAGTCTTTTGAACCATGAGTTCGATGCACAAAAAATGGCTGAGAAACTTCGAACTTTCAAAAGTAGAATCGACATTCTCAATTGTATAGTATCTTTGTACACTGCTGAATCGTTCCTGTATAAACTGGTGAATATTTCACTGAGGAACAGTGACATGACTAAAGTGAATACTTTGGGTCCCTTTTGTTGGCTATTATATGTACATTTAGCTGCCAGTGGAGGTAGAGGATATCTGGTTGCCTTTCGGGGAATGACTTTGACAGACGAAGAGATAGAAGAATACAAACAAGCACTTGGAAAATGGATCATCTGGCGTGGTTTTACGTCAACAACAAAAGATAGAAATGTTGCAGAGCAATTCGGAAATACACTCTTCGTTATCACTAACATGACACACGATGCGCGAATGGACATTTCTGCTCTTTCGCATTATCCCCATGAACAAGAAGTATTGATTCAATGTAATGGTCGTTTCGAAATTAAAGAAATAGAATACGATTCTGCAAAGGAAAAGTATGTTATTCACATGATGGGTAGTTACTAAAAATGACTCATTCGACGTACATTCACATATCGGTCGTATTAAGATAAATGCTAGGTTTTATTGTGTGAACTTTGCGAAAACAAAACATTTACGGTACTCTAATCGGTGTGTCGATCAACTCATTCAACTAACCATAACACATCGTGAAAATTTTTTTTTGAGTATTCTTTAGTGTTTGTAATAAAGAAAGATAACTTTTTGAACAGCATCAAACTTAGTCGGAGGGTGTGTCGGTGGGTGTGAATGTGGGTGTTGGTGTGGATATGGGTGTGGCGTGTGGGTGTGGGTGGGTGAGAGTTAGAATAACTAAAATGAAAACCCACCACTAACCCTCCCCCCCCCCCCCCCCCCCCCCCCCCCCCCAGCGTCGGTCACATCGGGACCCTCAACACCCGCCCCGGCATGTGGA